TGATAAGTTGGTTTCAAATGTCTTAACCTTATTTTGATATCATATTTATTTTGGAGCATTTTATTTTAAGTCGATTCTTAGATTTTAATTTCAAAATTTATTTCTGAGATTCTTAAAATATCTGAGTCGAGAGTTCCAACATCTAAGTTAAAATAGAATTTTAATAAGTCATGAGCCTTAAACTCGAAAACCCTTCAATTGGTAAATTTAATTTACCAAGGTAGAATTAGAGATTGATTCGAGTATCACTTAATTTTATGTAGATTCCGAGGAGTCGAACCCTCGACTTTCTACGTAAGCGACGACTCATCCCATTAGCAGAACTGAAATATCCAGGTGGGTTGTAATTGTAAAATTTGCTATGCTTTAATTAATTATTTTTGTTGTGGTATGATCAATGTATGCATGTGAACCATGTAGCCTTCGATGTGAGCTATATCGGCCGTCGAACGGTTATCCCCGTAGCTATAGAACGTACCTTCGGGTAGTCTCCTTTATTTATGTATGGCAGTCAGGGCGTGAGCCTTGGCTGGTGATCCTCGTATGTAAGGCCAAGGCGTGAGTTTTGGCATTCGGGGTGGATTTACTCCTGCTGGCTGGGCATTGATTGTAAGACCCGAGGGGCATTTCGATACGTGTATCAGTTCAGTGGTCTATTGATATAGGCGTGCACATGAGGGTTGACTCTGGGATAGGAGATGGGATATTAATTGTTTTATGTTCATACTGCGACCATACCTTTACTGTTTATGATTACTGAATATTGATTACTGCATAGTGGTGAGCATCTCGATTTTCCAATTGTGCTCATCCCCACCTGCTCTTCGCGGATGCAGGTTAGTACTCGCAGGCACGACAAGAGGAGGCGAGTGGTGGTCATGTAACTGAATTTATTTTCGTTGCTTTTGAACTGCTTAATATCGTTTATGCATTCTGATTAATGTTGATTTCTGGATTATGGATAGGGAGTGTACTCCCTAATATTTATGAATTTGAGAAAACCCAGTTTTGGGAGATTGATGTTATTAATGAACCCGGTTTGGGTGTTGACCTTATTTTTTTTTTGGAACCCGTTTTGGGAGTTGCATTTATGATGTCATTGAAAATGGTTTTTCAAATAGTAGCGCCGCCAAAGTGTTGTGAAGTAAATTTTTGAAAATTTTATTCTGAATTTCATCTGTTAAAAGTGGGGCGTTACAGTTTGGTATCAGAGCCAGGTTGCGTTTCTGTAGACTGGTCTAAGTTATGAAAAGTGATTATGTGATTATGTGTTTCGAAATCATGTTAAGACCACTCGCTCTCGTCGTGCCGCGCCAGCTCAGGTATGAATACCTGAATAACTTTGAGATTATTGCATATTGTTTGATTATTGATTATTGGAATGAAATCGGGGTTAGGACTAATCCACCTTTAAATGCGAACTCTAGTGTTGAACTCTAGACTTCTTTTATTATTGTGCTAAACTCTTCGACCAATTTACAATGTAGAATTATGGCTCGTCGTAATGCTCGCAACCAACAGCCTTCTCCGCCCCCATCTCCACCTCACCAGCAGGCTCCCAATCCTGCCGGGACTCATCTCAACATTGTGATTCAGTTTCGCCAGTTGACCCCACCGACTTTCAACGGGGTCGAAGGGCCCGAAGCAGTGGCGGAGTGGATCCGTCAGTTGGAGCAGAATTTTGACTTGCTGCAGTGCACCGACGCCCAGAAGGTCGTCTGTGGTCGCTATATGCTGAAGGGCGATGCCGCCCTATGGTGGTCCGGCTATTGGAGGTTGAGGCAGGCGGAGTTTAATGCCCTGACTTGGGATCGCATGAAGGAGGTGATCATGGAGAAGTATTATCCTTAAAGTTATCGCATGAGGATGGAGCGCGATTTCTGGGATCTTACTCAGGGGACTGGTACTGTTGAGGAGTACGAGCGGGAGTTCACCCGCATGAGCGCCTTTGCTCCACATATGGTGGACACTGACCTGAAGAAGGTTCACAAGTTCCGGGATGGACTAAACCGAACTCTCCGTATGCATGTTGCCAGCCAGGGAAATCTTTCCTTTGACGAGACCGTTATCCGAGTCGTCCAGCTTGAGAGCTATCAGACTCTCGATGCTTCTGTCCCTTCTGCTCAGCTAGTGCATCCCATCTCCTCTGTGCCGTCCGGCTCTAGTTCGGGCAAGAGGAAGTCTGGCTA